GTTAATGGATTAGATAAGTATTTCATTCCCAACATTTCTCCTTGTGAATTTGACCTTTGCCCTGGTCTTGGGAAAGTTGTCTCTATTTCTAGAACACCGATGAACTCATCTTTTAAAAAGATGTTGTGTTTATTTTTCCCAAGATAGAAAAGATTTAAAACCAGGTTTACAGGTTTTGCCAGAGGACAATTGTTGGTGAAGGGACGTGGAGGACACATCAGCTTATGGCATTGTTAGAGTTTATGGGTTCTTAGTTACGTGAAACACTGTAAGACATTGACAGATCCACTGAAGGAGTGTGGTTTTTAATAGTTTTAGGGTCTCATTCAGCTTATGTAATGCCTGTGTATAACACATCAGTTCTTTTAGAATGTAAATAAAATGCTCACTTAAAAATATCGTACGATATTCATTAATAGGAAATACAGACCTTAAGAGTAATTTGCATCTGTAGGCTTTAGATAAAAACTCATCCATTTTAATGCTTCCTTAAATAAGGTCAGAATTCTGGTTTCCTCTTGCAAGATTTGCTAACTCACAAATCCATCTTTTTTCAGATTTACTTATAAGTTTATGAAATGTCAAAAATCATTTTCAGGAGACACGAAATAGCGACAGAATCCATTTAAATTACTTGGGATGCTCACATAGTCATCGCCTTATGAAATCTGAGTGGAAAAGCCGTGTGGTATGTGAGAGGTAGGACAGCACAGAAACTGGCCGAAAGCCTGTGCCTTGAGTGCTGAGCTAGGGGCAGATGGAACGGTTCAGTGTCCTACCAATGAGGGACTCTCCGTTCTCAGCTGCACGGGAGTATCATTTGTTAAGTTCATCTTCTAACTGGAGGACTTGTACCAACGTTTTCACTGCTTCTACTGAAATGTTTTAATATTTGTACTCAAAGCACATACTTCTCTTTGTAAGAAATTGTAAAAGTCATTATTGATTGACATAAGAAAAGAATGACTGGAGTGAAACATAGAAGGAAGATGAAACCTACTTTTTCCCAGAAATACCATGCAAACATTATTTTTATCTTGGGAGCTTGAATTTCTAACTCACTTGCCTTTCTCTGTTCGTAAGGCACGCTTGGGGAGCCTGACTCTTAGTCACCTTTTTGGATCACAGTTCCCCATTTTAAAAGAAAGGGGCTTCCTGCGGCAGTGGCTCACTTCCCTTGAGGCTCTAACTCAGGACTCATTCATTCTGAACTCGCATCTGAAAAGAATGAAGCCAAAGACCTGTGTCACTTCATCTCATTCCAAGAAAGAGCTCCATGTAATGAACTGAGGGGAAGGCCCACATTTCTGTATCTCTGAAGAAAATTAACTCCATTTGAGCTTTATAACATTATTCCCTGCCATGTAAGTTTCAGTTATGAAAAAAAATACCAAAACTGGTTATATTTCCAGAAGACATTGTATTGACGGAAAGATGGTGTGAGGAGAAAGTTGTTAAACTCAGTGCCATGCAATTGACATACTGCAGGTTCACCACGTGTGTAATTCATGGTCAGAAGATGAACTCCGCGACAGAGGTGACAGCAGAGATGCTCGTGAGTGCAAAGCTGATTGCATTGTGTCTACCTTCTAGTAGCTGCTGAATGAATCTAAACGCTGAAAGTGGCCGGTGGTGCCTTCCCACAGTGGCCCCTATGTTCCTGCAGTCACAGATGTGGTGAATGTCTTTTGAGTTGCAGTCCTGTACAAATGCGAACGATTGGTTACTTGCACAGCTGTGCTGTGGAAGCATTTGTTCGCTGCCAGGGAAAATCGAAGCCCATTAGGTCTGTGGTTTGAAACCTAAGAAGAAGGCTGACCAGGAAGAACCTCCGTTTTCCTCTGCCCTAGAGTAGAGATTGCTCCTTGCCAACCTGTAACCACCACCAGCCCCACCCCCCAGGGTTGTTAAATCGAAATTGGAAGCTTATTATCACTGATCTTGGGCCCATCTTCTTTGAGCAGGTCTCAGCTGTTTTGGAGACTGCTGGTGTGTCTTCCTCAAGGAGATTGAGTTTTGACTATTGTTCATATTCATGTGGTCAGGTTGCGCTGACGGTGATGACATGGATGCTTTTGCCCCTCTTATCACAACATTCCCTGTCCATAAGTAACTTGATACTTGCCTTTTTTTTGCATATCTCCCAAGTTAAGTTGGTCACAAGTAGAACTCTAGGAAGTAGTGTTCTTTAGGTCTTTGAAGCACTTGAGACATGATACCATTCATTTGGGTCTGTTTCCTTGTGATGGAAGGAGAGAAATAGCATTCTTTAGAACCACTAACTAATCCATTCTATGGGGAAATGCTATTTTACTGCAGAATTGACAAGTATGGGGATTGATGAAAAGTTTTTTTATGTATCTTGGTTCAAAGATCTATTTCTCCTAGAAACCATGTGTAAATATCTTTCTTTTAAAAGAAAAGCTTTTTTTTTTTATTGGAAACTCAGATTTAAAGAGGAGAGATGAGAGGAAGATCTTCCTTTTGTTGGTTCGCTCCCTAAGTAGTGGCGATGTCCAGAGCTGAGCTGATCTGAAGAAAGGAGCCAAGAGCTTCTTCCAGGTCTCCCATGTGGATGCAGGGTTCCAAGGCTGTGGACTGTCCTCGACTGCTTTCCCAGGCCACAAGCAGGGATCTTGATGGGAAGTGGAGAACTCAGGCTAGGAACTGGCAGCCATATTGGAATTCTGGTGCATGCAAAGTAAGGGTTTTAGCTACTAGGCTACTGAGCTGGACCCATAAATATCTATCTTTATCCCTGTGTCTGTGCAGTCCAGTACTGTAGGCACTAACCTTGCTAGATATTTAGTGTCAATATGGCTAGTTTGAATTGAGACTTACTCTGAGTGTGTAATACACCCTGGATTTCAAACAGTATAAAAATATGAACACAAAATACATTGTTTCAAAAAAATATTTTAAAGGCAGAGTGACAGAAATGGGAGGAGAGAAAGATTGAGAGGAGTGGAAAAAGAGAGATCTTCCATCCGCTGGTTCATTCACCACATGGCTACAACAGGCTGGGCTAGGCCAGGCCAGGAGCTAGGAACTCCATCTGGGTGTCCCCCACGGTGGCAGGGCCTCACTGCCCTCGAAGGCACATTAGCAGGAAGCTGGATCAGCGCAGTTGAGGCTGAAACCAGCATGGCAGTGTTCACAGAAACTTACCATGCTGTGCCACAATGCTGGACCACATTAGTACTTTTTGTCTTGATTTCAATATATGTTGAAATGTAAGATATGTGATGGTAAATGCATTATTAAATTCAATCTTGGTGCTTATGTTCCGTGGCTGCTAGGTCATGTGCAATTCTACATGTGATTAATATGTTTTCACTGGACGCAACTGATGGGGACTTTGCTCTCTGAGGTCAGAGGGATTGTCTGCCATTTATTGACTAGGAGCTCAATTCCTTCCAGCTCGATGGTTCCATTTCTAAAGGAATATATTCTACCTTACAGAAGGGAATCCTGGCTTACACCACGAAACGTAGATGAACCTTGAAGGTGTTCTGCTAAGTAAGCCAATCACAAAAACACCAATACTGCCTGATTCCGCTTACAGAAGGTATCTGAAGTAGTCAGACTTACAGAACCAGAAAGTGGAATGGTGATTACTGTGGTCTAAGGGGAGGGAGAAACAGGAAATTGTTCACCGAGTGTACAATCATTCAAGATGAACAAGTTGTAAAGATCTCTTGTATAGCAATGTACAGGAAATCAACAGCCCTGTACCATAACTAAAAATTGCTGACAATAAATGAATGTGTTTTCTGCTTCAATAAAAATTAACAAGTAGCAACTATGTTGATACTTTGTTGTAGTACCAGTCTGCAGGGCAGATTGTAATAATGTTTCCTTTGCATATCTTTTCTTCATAAGAGAGAATTTTGTTGGAGACTTTGTGGTAAGAAAGGAAAATGTCTCCTTGCAGCGAAGTTGTGTGGTTGGCAAGGAGACTGGAATATGGGCCTATCCCTGATTGCACTGTGTGACTTAGAGAGCTTCTCTCTGAATGTCATTTGCAATGCATATTGGTCAGGTTCTTGAGAAGGAGAGAAAGAGAGAGAGAGAAAGAGAGAGAGAGAGAGAGAGAAACAGAGATGTGGATTTCAGGATGGTGTCATTTCAGAGGCAGCCAGATACGCTTTGAAAATGCCTTTCCCTCCGTCTGCCTGAAGCCTGGAATCCAACAGCTCGATTTTGTTCCCAGAAGACATGTTTTAAAAACCAAGTAAATGGCTAGACCCTTTAGCAGTGCTGACAGCCAGACTCTCACTGAAGTGGGAGGAGGGGGACACCACAATGAGGGAGGTGGGATTTGTGGACAGGCCAGAATCAGCCTTTATATACTGAGCATTGGCTCTGGCCATTGCCCGAGGGTCTGGGTCTGAGCAGAGCGCATTGCAACGAGTAAGTAGTGAGCTCTCCGCTCTTCCCTGGGACAACTGGGCAAGTGTAGGCTGATGCTGTGCTTGGCTGCATCTTCCCCTGGAGTTGGCCGGGTTCCAGAAGTGGAGCAAGCAGAAAGAGGACAAAGGCACGATGTGACTCCCCTACAGACCAAGGAGGTGAATGTGCAGCTCTGGGCTGGTGAGCAGCAGCCCATATTCTGTTTCTTTGCACTTTTCCTGCTACCACGGTCTGTCCCCTCACCCTCCCCAACAGTGTGATAAATGCCCTTATACCCTCATCATATAATATTCCTGTGTGTCAGTATTGTTTCATATGTTTAAAAAAACTCATGTGAAGGACATCATATTTTATGTAGTGTTTCACAGTCTGCTTTTTAATTCAGCCTAACTATTCACCTCTTTAATTGAATTTGGGATATTTCATCCAGAGATACTGAATTATTCTTAGCACTGATATAGTATTACCGTTTTGGGTAATAGCATTTAGTCCCTAAAATATTCTAGAGATAGTTTAGATGGAAAATTCTTAATGTGTCAAATGTATAATTCTAATATAGTAACTAAAATATGTTTGTTTTATTTTAGGTTTAATGTAACATACCCTCTCAAACTTTATCCCCGCTCCTCCTCTCCAAATCATCCCATTAGAAAAAGAGGAAATCATGTCAGGACACAAATGGTAAGCAACTCACGATCTTTGCTCAAGTGGATGAGGCTAGTGAAGTTGGAAAACATGTGGTTTATGCTCAATAAATCTCTATTGAACAGAAAAAGTCAACAGGCACATTAGCACCAAATAAACTGGTTATCCTCTCTGATGGCAGGCATAACCAAATTCAGTATATTAACTGTGGTGTGAAAACAAGTGCAGAAATATTGTGAATTACATCTTATGTGTATTCTCTTAAGAGACTCACTTATATATAACGGACTTCTTGGAATTCTAGTGATGTTTTTTTCTTACCACCATTCTTCTCTAATGTAATGAGTTGATGCATTTAAGCCATTAGAGATAAAAGGGAATTTTATGTAGGGAAACTATAAAATAAGGGATGATTCTCCAACCATATTTACTAATTTGTAGTCATGACTTCAGTCATCATGAATGTTCCGGAAGCAGTCATGATCGGGAGTGTGTGATGCTGAATGAAATAAATATGGTATAAGACGGCTATGAGCGCTGTGTTTCTGTGCCTGTAGCCCGTGCAGGCAGCATGGGAAGGTCCTTCCTAGTCCCTGAGCTAGTCCAGTCATGTTCCTGAACTCTTTGCCAATAAACAAGCACATCCTTTTCAAGTTTTACCTTCTTTAATCTGTATCATGAAAAAGTATAGTATATGTATACATATAAATATATATATATATATTTTTTTTTTCCTAAGTGTACAGTGAAAAGAACTGCGCTTTTCCGTTTCGCCCCTTGGTGGCGAACAACCAGGACCAAGTGTCCTGAAATATCACATGTCAAACTGCAAAAGAAATTTTGCATGTCTTAATATGGAATGAGTTTTAAAAGTAATTAAGATAGCAATGAGATTTAATTCAAGTAGACCCAGTTAACAGTTTTCTAAGAGTTGTCAGACTTTTTTAAAATGGATTTTCTTTTTTAAAGAAAGATTTTCTTTTGTTTGAAAGGCAGAGTTACAGAGAAAAGGACAGAGATTTTCCATTTCCTGGTTTACTCCCCAGATAGCTACAATAGCCAAGGCTGAGCCAGTGTGAAGCTAGGAGCCAGGAGCTTCTTCTGGGTCTCCCATGTGGGTGCAGGAACCCAAGGAATTGAGCCATTCTCTGCTGCTTTTCCAGTCCATACGCAGGAAGCTGGATTGCAAGTGGAGCAGTCAGGATACAAACTAGTGCTCATTTGGGATGCCAGTGCTGCAGGTGGAAGCGACTGTGCTATGGAGCCTGCCTCCTGACATTTTTAAGCTTCCTTTTTTGCCTCTTTTTGACAATGGCCATCAACCTAACCTTTTAATGGCTTTTGTATCCTGGCAACAAGCTCAGTGATATCTGGTCAACAGGAAGGTAGCTACTTCTCCGTGAGACTAGAAGGCCCAAGAAGTAGGCTGTTTCCCCAATTCTGTCTCCTTTTTACTGCACTTCACAACCTGGTACAGAAACGCAGCAGCTACAAGAGTATACTGAAATGAGCACTGGATTGGCTTTTAAAAGTCTGGATTTTAGTCCTGTGTGTCTTTGGGTAACATTCGTAGTGATTTGAAACCTAAGAGTCTTCATTTGTTGAATGATAGGGGATAGGGGTATTCACTAGGTCTCCTCAGTCTTTTTTTTTTTTTTTTCTAATATAGAATTTTTGGTTGTTGTTAATCCATGAACTTTGGCTCTTAAAAATAAGAAGCAATGGGCCCAGCACAGTGACCTAGTGGCTAAAAGTCCTTGCCTTAAATGTGCCAGGATCCCATATGGGTGTCGATTCTAATTCCGGCAGCTCCACCTCCCATCCAGCTCCCTGCTTGTGGCCTGGGAAAGCCGTCAAGGATGGCCCAAAGCCTTGGAACCCTGCACCCTGTGGGAGACCTGGAGGAAGTTCTTGGCTCCTGGCTTTGGATCTGTGCAGCACCGAACAATGAGGTCACTTGGGGAGTGAAACATCGGATGGAAGATCTTGCTCTCTCTCTCTCCTCCTCTCCTCTCTATATATCTGACTTTGCAATAAAACTAAATAAATCTTTTAAAAAAACAAGAATACAAAGAGGACCTAATTGCCTTGAAATAACCCTGGTCTTAAGATTTGTTTATCATGGAGAAAGACTTTTTTATTGTTAGCATAAATGTTATATTGATTCTTCTTTCATATGAGCTCATAGTCAATTTTTTTAAAAGATTTATTTATTTCATTGGGAAGTCAGGTTTACAAAGAGAAGAAAGAATCTTCTGTCTGCTGGATCACTCCCCTAGCGGCAACAATATCGAGAGCTGAGCTGATCCAAAGCTAGGATCCAAGAGCTTCTTCCAGATATCCCATGTGGGTGCAGGATCCCAGGGCTTTGGGCCATCCTCTATTGCTTTCCCAGGCCGTAAACAGGAAGCTAGTTGGGAAGTGGAGCAGTTGGAACATACACCAGTGCCCATGTGGGATCCTGGTGCAGGCAAGGCGAGGATTTAGCCATTAGGCTGTCACAACAGGTCCTGTAGTAAAATATTTTAAGTAATGTAAGAATGATATGAACTAGATCCTGCAAGTCTCATGATTGCACTACTCTTCTCCAAAAATAACCATTATTTAAAAAGTTGTGTCAATATAGCTTTCTAGCTTTTTAGGAATAAAAGTGCAAATTGAACAGTGTAAATTTAGTGAAATTGTCAGTGAAGGGAAGAATAAATTATCAGGTTTTAAGATACTGGTACTTGGTACAGTTGCATGAAGGAGCTCGTGTTTTTTAGCACAAATCTGGCACATGTTGAGTGGTGATGGCATGGGGTGGGTGAAGGGACATGTCCCAGAGAGGAGGTTCCCGGGTGCCCCATGTAGGATTTGGAAGAGGAGTTCCAGGCTGGAGGAGTCTGTAGATCAGCAGCTGGAGGGGGCGTGGGGAAGGGAGCCCCAAGCAGTAGACTTGCCATCAGCATCTAGGTGGCTAGGTCAGTCTCAGAGAATGCCATCTCTCAGTCTTGTTTTCTTCTAAGTTCTTCATGAATGTATTGATTTGTTCTTCATTGTGATTTTCCCAGAGGATAGCTTCCTATATGTATTTTAAATATTTCTTTTGAAGCAACTGTACGTTTTTAGCTTTGGGAATCTACAGTTGTTTTAAAATTTGTTTCATTGCAGTAAGAATGCAATGTGAAATCTACTGTCAAGTTTTTAGATACACAGTGCATTATTGGTAGCAATAAGCACATTGCTATTTATGGTACATTTCTAGAACTTACCTTGCATAACTGAAACTTTATGCCCATCAATTAGCAACTCCCCATTTTCCCTTAGCTCCCATCTCTTGTAGCTACCATTCTAGTTTCTGAATCTGTCAGTCTGTTTTAGATCCCCTGTGACAGATTATAAATATTCTATTCTACAGCTTCTTATCTCTGCTTTGTTACCAGTATGAGTGGAGGCATGCTGGTGGCCAGCTTTATCTTATCTGACTCCCTGAGATGCCATGGGCTGGTCACCATGCCAGGCTTGGTCTCATTTTCTCTACTTTTAACAGGAATGTATCTAAACCATCGATACCTAAATTCTGTGTTTCATTTCCCACTTTCCAATGAACAGTTTCATTTTCTCACTCTAACATTGAAGGTTTTGGAGTAGATTAGAAGCAGTTCATTAGATTTGTTGCTGTAAGAATTATGTAAGGAAGTACTTACATGTTTGCTAATGTCGATAGTGTAAAAGGAAAGTAGGTTTAGGTGGGTGTTTTCACAACAAATCATAATGATGTTTATGAAAGTTGGAAATAAAGCAACTCTTTCAATGTCTTGCAGTTACTCGTGGGACTTACAGGACCGATATGTTCAAGATAAATCGGTGGTAAATAAGATGCAGCAGAAATATTGGGAAACTAAGCAGGCCTTTATTAAAGCCACAGGAAAGAAGGAAGATGAGCATGTTGTTGCCTCTGATGCAGACCTGGATGCAAAGCTGGAGGTAAGCCCTCCGTCCTCAGCCCCAGGGCAGCAACTTTGCTGTGCCCTGTTTGAAAATGGGTGGAATTTAGCATTAGATCAGTTCAATCCTGCCATGTTTTTTACAACCTACAAATAATCACATAATGATCAGCATGCCTCAGTTAATATTTTTTCCTGCACACTTAGTTGAGGTGCCTGATGTATGATGAATTCTGAGTAATTGCTTAATGAAAATAAAAATAATGCAAAGAGCTGCCACTAATGATATCTGAGGAATCCAAATTGAAAATGTCAGGCAAATGTTTACTTCTTCTTTTTCTTTTTTTTTTTTAAAGACATTATCTTGGAGTGTAATATGGTTGATACTGAAAATTCTAGAAAATTCTAGAGTAGAACTAACTAAGCAGATATTTAGTTTGTCTATCTAGTAATACAGCAAGCTGCAAATGATCTGTTTGAGCTAGAGTATTCATACAACTGGTGGGAAGTCCCCTAACTCCCTAACTTGCTGATCACTTCTACAAATAACTTAGATCTAAATTTTGAAAACATAATTATCATTTCTTGAAGGCTAAGGCACCAAGCAGAAGAAAAAGAAGCTAGATAGTTTGATAAGAATTCCCAACGATCTCAAATATTAATTTGTAAACTGAAGTTAATGAGCGGAACATTTAACGTCACTAAAACAAAAACAGCATGGTTTCTATAAGCCTTCCCCGAAGGATGGCCAGGGTGGTGAAAACCGTGGTTACCCTGGGACCAAGAGACTCCAAGGGGACATCTTAGTCGCTGAGGACCTGCTCCCCTTCTGCTCATCTCTGGCTAGAACCAGACCCAAAAGGAACTTTCTGATGTTCAGGCTGCCCAATGGGTGATGGGCTGAATTTGATACCACTATTCCACAAACTGTTAGAACCATGGGAGAACTACCTAGTTTTTTTTTTTTTAATCATTGTTTTGTTATTTCAGCTAACATGAAGGTTAAGTTGTGCCAAATGGAAATGGAGACTGTTTATTGGGTGTTTATTATGTTCTAGAGACCATACCAAGTATTTTCCATCCTTCATCTCTAACACCCTGCACAGCTCCTAACCTGCCTGGCCTGTCTCCCTGCCTTGGATCTTTCTCTGCAACAACACTTACCCTGCTTGTCTTCTCATAGTCACTCTTCAGCCGTGATGGCTCTTTCTCATTCTCAGTGCACAGCCAGGCAAAGTTATGCCCATCAGAACATCTCTGTTCTGCCTGGACCCTCCTCCTCCAGACTGCCCCTTAACTGACTCCTCTGAGTTCAGGTTTCAGTCCAAAAGTCGCCCTGAAAGCCCTCACTTGGATATGATATTTGAAGTTCCTGCTTGTCCACTCCCATCCCCCAATTACACACTCCCTCCCCACCCCCGTTCACCATATAACACATGGCCTTGTTTATGGGTGGCACTCATCTTTATGGCATTATCTTAGCTGTTGTGTTTGCCTGTCTTCTGTCTACTGTAAAGCCAAACTCCATGTTAGCCTTATTCGCCACTTTGCCAAACCAGACACGCTGGGCCCGTGTGGTAGACACTAACTGAAAACGTGTGCTTGATGGTGTAGTCATGCTGGTTCTCAACTCTTTCCTTCCTCTTCCAATGGGAAATTTTGAAATTGAAGCTGAGCTTCACAAGACATTTCAAATGTTCCAAAAGACATTTCTAAAAGGGGGAAAGGAAGAACCAGGGAGTGTATGTTCTTATTTTTAGATTCCAAATACAGATTCAATTATTGTGAGTCTCTTAGCTTTTGTTCTTCACAATCTGGTAAATTGAGGATTATTTTTAAAAAGTAACCCATGAATTAGTAGTGTGTTAAGTATCAGATTTACAGCTAGGATCATGAAACAGCACTACTGCTGAGTTGTATTCGATTCATGATTTTACCCATGCTAAGGGTTCCACTGCAGAAATGCTAATATTGATGGCAACATTAATAAAGTAGATTTTATCCATGAAAATCACATGCAAATCATGTGTTGCATGCTTACACAGAGATGTCCCTGGAAGACTATCTTGTACATCAAACACTTTTGCTGTGCTGCTCCAGAAAACTTGACTGCAAAGTTTAATAGTTAGATTCTGTTACAATCTGCTAAGAAGTTAATATACAAATGTACCGTTTTAATATTTGTCAATGCAGCTTTCTTATATAAGTCATTGCTCAGAAACAGCTCTGTTTTGCAAAAATCAACAAGGCAGACCTGTGGTGACAGTCTTTTCATGGCTGTCAGGGGCAAGGTGTGATGACTTTGTGGCGGAAATATTTCTTATCTTGTGGTTAAGTCAGAGTGTGTGACTGTTGAAATCCACAGGATGGAATAATCCAGAGCTGTGCAGTTGTTGCACTTAAGATAGTCCTCAATTTTTAGGAAGCCAGTGGTGACAGAACAGCCTCTGAAAGTACTTTGAGTCCTCTGCACCCACACACAGGCATTACTGCATGGGGTGGTTTGCAGCTCAGGATATTAGGCAAGGAATGTATACAGACTGCTGGTTCCTCTTTTTGTTTGATACTGAGGGGTAATTTTCTTTTCCACATGGATGGAGAATATATATATTAAGAATGTACTTATTCTTATTGGAAAGGCAGATATGCAGATAGGAGGAGAGACAGAGAGGAACATCTTCTATCTGATGATTCACTCCCTAAGTGGCTACAACTGCTGGAACTTCGCTGATTTGAAGCCAGGAGCCCAGATCTTCTTCCAGGTCTCCCATGTGGGTGCAGGGTCCCAAGGACTTGGGACGTCCTCGACTGTCTTCCCAGGCCACAAGCAGGGAGCTGGATGGGAAGCGGGGCCGCTGGGATTCGAACCAATACCCATATGGGATCCTGGCGTGTGCAAGGTGAGGACTTGAGCTGCTAGGCCATTGTGCCTGGCCCTGCAATATATTTTTTTTTAAGATCAAGTGTTATTGAGCATTCCTATGAAATTTTTCTGTAAGATTTATTTGAAAGACAGAGTAACAAAGTGGGACACAGAAAGCTACTGTTCATCTATTGATTTACTTCCCAAATGGCTGTAGCAGCCAAGGCAGAGCTATGACAAACCCAGAAGGTGGCAACTGTGTCCACAACTCCACATAGGAGGCAGGGCCCACATCACCTGGGCCATCTTCTGCCAGTGCGTTAACAGGAGCTGCATCAGAGGTGAGCATCCAGGGCTCAACCCGGTGGTCTGATACGGGGACTCAGCGTAAAGGCAGGCATCAGCTTAATCTGCTGTGTCACAAAGTCGGACATTTTTAGCATTTATTTTTAATGGACAATTTGGTAAGATTGGTAATGAAGCAATCATTTGTTTCACTCAAATTTGGAAATGAATCAAATTTGAAATTTTGATACCAGAGACTAATTTCACCAAGGCTAGGACACTAGAAGGAGTTTGAAAATTTTGCCATGCCTAAAATGAGTGATTCTGTGGAGGCAAAGTGTGCACCTTCTAGATATTTCTTTCAAGTTTTATTTGAGAAAGAGAGAAATATTCCATCTACTGATTCAGTCCTCAAATGCTAGCGGTAGAGGTAGGCCCAGCATTACTTCCTAATATCCTACATGGGTAACAGGTTCCCGAGTGCTGGAGAATCATCTGTTGTCTCCCAGGGCATGATTTAGCAGGAAGCTGCCGTCAGAGGTACAGCTGGGGCTTGAACCCACAGCCTCCACCATAAGATGCATGAGTCTTGAAGGCATTTTAATCCCACCCAGCATGTGCTGCCTGCCAGGTTTTCTGGTGGATATAAGCCCTAGTCTCTGAGTTATAGGACAGAGTAGAGAACATGTGAAGTTGTCTCTGACTCTTTTTGAGCTATGTTGGTTTCCAAAGAGGAAAGCAGGAGAACCAGGAATTAAGTCCAGTTGGATCCCCCCTCAATAAGGCTCACCTGCCTTTCCCCCAGTTTCCCCTGTGCAGATGCAGCTTGGCCTTAGCTTGTCTCACTGTGTATTTTATGAAGTAATCGGGAAAATTAGGAGTGATAGGGGTCTGCTAGCTAAACAGTATTTTACCAGATGCCTTTTAAACAGGCAGAAAGCATTCAGCTGATTGATTTTTGTTTTCTTTATCCAGTTGTTTAAGCATGTCATAAAATGCATTAGAGTCACAAAATAAGTTAATGCCATCTTTAAAATATGGTGCTTAATTGGCAGATCTTCCATTTAAAAAAAAAAGACAGCAAGTGGTAAAAAAAATAAATTAGATTTTGAATGAATATTGGGTCTCTGGTTTACCAGTTCCTCCAATTGTACCCTTCACTTAGGATTTCTGTTTTTCAGCTATTATTTCAGTAGTCTGGAAGAAGTATAATTGTTCTACAGACCTGAATTTATGTCACAGAGAAATGAATTCCAATAATAACTGATTTCGATTTTAGTGGGAAATTCAAATATTCTGGTTATGTTTGATGTGATTTTTTTCTTATTTGACCACTGTCTTACTGAGCATTTTGTTTGTATTTTTATTATAGCTGTTTCACTCGATTCAGAGAACCTGTTTGGACTTGTCTAAAGCAATTGTACTGTATCAAAAGAGGATATGTTGTAAGTATGTTCTATGTATGACAGTTAATCAGACAATAAGAAACAGCAAAGTATTGGGCTATATCATTAGTATGATTAGGACACTAATCAGACATGCTAAGTTTTGCTTTTTAGAGAGAGTCTACAATAATTCTAATAATTTACATAAGCTATTGATTTTTCAAATAAATTATCAATGGATTTGGAATACCATTTATTTTCTATATGAGGAACTAGTTTTCCAATTTATATGTTGGGCTTTTTAAATTGTGAACTTTTCATTAATTTGTCTAGACTCCCTTATAACCAATTTTGTGTGTTTTAAAATGGCCAAATAGGAAGAGAGTATACATATAGTTCATTAATTGATGGTACTTGGCTAATAACACTTGCTCATGGACATTTTTTATGTTGTACATTACCCTAGTAGGGAGTAAGACTTTATATGGTCATCCTGTTTTAAAAGCAAAGCACCACAAAATATTTGGAAGGAAAGGAGAAAAAGAAAAAAAAAAACATCAACAGAGAGATACCAAATTGTATGTTAATATGTCTAAAATTTCAATTTAGACATTTAGACATTTCCATTAGGTCATTTTAATGGAAGCATTCTTGTGACACTAGAATATGCTAATTACTGCCAAATGCCTTTCTTACCATTAGCAAATGGTAATTTTTTACCTTAGTATTTCATTAAGACAACTTACTTTAGGGAAGTTCAAAATATGCATGACTTTATAAATCATGTATTAATATTTGCCAGTGTTTTAAGTGTATGGGTTCCTAATCCCAGGGTTCTGAGTTAGGTGGAATCAAGAAACAGGACAAGAACCCACTGCTGCTCTGTGCCACACCCAACATCAAATACTGCACCATACCCTTATACCTCCACAATAGTTTTTATTATTGTTTTTTGATACAGTTTAGTTGGCACCGGGGTCTCTTCCTTCTCCCCCACGTTCCCTCTCCTCACTTTGTTCTCCCCTCCAGTCTCACAGCAGGTCTCAGATCTCAAATCTTTGCCCTAGTATAAGATAATATGATGTCAAAGCTAGGGATATTACATGTGAATCTTGCCTTATGTCACTTCGTACTCACCTGTACCTTTTGTAATAAGAACTTGTGATGTAATTCATTAGTCAGCCATCCATAAGAGAGTGGTTATAATTGCCTGAGATGGTCAGTGTCCCTTTTATCACTGTTATTAGTCCTGCCCATAAAAAACAACGATCTAGTCCTCATTATACCTTCGGTAGGGCCCTGGGATACAAGAATGAACTCACAAATAAATGACTGACAGTCTTCTACATGGTTGGGAGACACTCCATTGGCAGCATGATGGGATTGGGAAAATTCACAATAGTTTTAACTTTTTCCTTCCTTTTTGCATCTACTCTGCCCCCACCATTGTTCAAGTCATTGCTATCACCCTCTCACTATGTTAGCTATATCAGCTGCCTGTTTGGTCTGGCCTCCTTGTCTCCACTTTTGCCTCCTTAAGCCCAGTGACTACACTGCAGAATATACTTTAAAGCTGATCAAAGAAGTCCCTTGTTTAAATCCTGCATTTTATGGACTCACTGGTCAATGTCCCCTTTCTGTATGTATAGTACTCCTAATATTCACTATGAGATGAATCATTTTGTCCTTTATGAAAGAAGGCAAAAGATGACAGAAAATTGTGACAAGCTTTTAAAAAAAAATTGGGTGAATTTCATGAAACTGTGCATTCTCTCTTAAAGAAGAAAAGATTGATGTTTATGAAGTTTCTGTACATAGTGATTCTCTGAACGGAAATTATCCTCCCCCTTGGAACACCCCAGATTAAGTACTAGAATAATGTTTGAGTACCCCTGAGGTTCATGAGTGTTTTGTAAGGTAAGGAACTAAACAGAATCTCCACCCTTGAAGTCAGCACCTGGTGGTGTGGTAGAGCTTGGTTGTGGGTTCTGCCAATCCCTTGTGTCTGTCCACTAAGCTCATGTGAGCCACAAGTGGGGCTGAGTAGACAGAATTCTGCCTTGCTTGGGCTTGAAGGAGACCCCCACTTTGATGGAGGACTAAAAATAGTGGGGTTACCATGAGGGTGTTGCTATGTAGCTGTCAAAGAAATGTGGGGGAGCTGCTCTAGGAACTGGGAGGGGAGTGAGTTTGAGGCTGTAATCTTCTGTGAGGGAAGTAAAGCACAAAAACATCCCTTTATGTGCTGTCCTACATGCAAAAAAAAAGGGGGGGGATACATGAATGAAAAAAGCAAGGGATGCACCTCACACAAATACTCTTGTGTTTGAAGTCTACTCATTGTGCTAAGGAAATTCGGAAAAAATAAGCCATGAACCGCAGAGACGGAATATCAATCAGTAGGGTTGGGAAGAGGAGAATGAAAATGAGGCCTCGGGAAAAAGGAAGGAATTGCACCCTTCTGAGACACCTCCAAATAGTTCCTGACTTTTAAAATCCTAGTAATGTTTCCCATACTCAGAAACTCCTGTAACTCAACCAGGATGTGAGAGAATCTGCAATGAAATACAAACAGTATCAAATTAACTTAATAGCATTACAAATGAATGACATCACCACCCTGACTTAACAGGGAACAGAAGTAATCTCCGCGATTTGGGGAAACAATATTTTTATGAGAAACTAAAACTAAATACAAAAAGAACTATATGAGACAGCTGTCCTTTGGTTAATAAATTTGTTGCTCTGAAGAGTATGGCTCAACAAATCTGAAACTACTTCATGTGCATACTGAGATTGAAACGCATAAGTAAACATAGTGAGGATAATGACAGCCTGGTGTGTCCATGAATAGTACAGAGTGGTTACAAATAAAGAGAGAAGGCTAGAACACACTGGTGATGCACTGAAATCAGAGGTCTAAGAATGAAGTCATTCTTTAAAAATATTTATTCAGAGAGTTTATATACAAATATGAATGTGTGTCATATGCCTGGGTTAGTGTACATTCCTGTGTTTTCCTGACTCTGACAGCTGGGAAGGACCCGACCTTGGTTTCTAAATATCCTTGTTCATTATGAGGAATAATACTGGGCAATCTGATTGATTCCAATAGTAGGGCAGCAGGGAAAGTTTAAGATGGGCTTGGGGTTTCATGCAATACCAGCACATAAGCAAGTGCTTGAAAAAGAGGAGGACATGTTAAAAGGGCATTAGCAAACCTGTAATCAATGTTAGTATAATATGAACAACAAATAAATAATGGTAGTGTTGAATTGTAGCCCACAGGAGAAAATAAATATCGAATCAGTTTATATGGAGATAGAGAGAGAGTAGACAAAGGACAGCTGTTCCTTATAAAACAGCTCCAGATAATAAATATCAAAAGGAAGAAGGAAGAAGCTACGATAGTACCATTAGCCAAACACTACCGTGATGATCATGGCAGGTGAGATTCACTCAGTATCTAGTTAGTGAAAGTTGGAAGAGAGGCTCATGTCTTCTCCCTTCCAACCTTTAGAAAAATGGTAGCTTTGAGTGGAGAAGCCCAGGAAATATCAGCTTAACCAAGTGACACAGGCTAATTCCCCAGAAATAATGTGTCGTGATGTCCTGGAGACCCTAATACCATGCACTAAGGACCCTTCACTTCAGTTTTGTCCTTCCCCTAAGCTCACCACCCCTGGCGAGTCATGAGAAATCAGGCAAACCTTTATTATGAGGTGTTCTGCATGAGTTAGGTGGCTAGTCTGGTTAAAATGTGCCAAACTCAGGAAAGACAAGATCAAGAAGCTGCCTCAGACTGAGGGAAACTAAGGAAATAACATCTCCAATTCAGCTGGGATCCTGGACTTGATCTTGGATCAGAAGACAGACATTAATGGGAAAACTGGTGAAATTCAAGCAGGATGTATAGCTTAACTGATAAGATTGTAACCATGTTAGTTTCCTAGATTTGATCATTGTACCATAATTATATAAGATGTAAATATTAAGAGGAAGCCTGGGAAGGATATGTGGAAATTCTATATACTGTTTATAATTTGTCTATGCATCTAATATTATGTCAAAATAAAGGTTTAATAAATATAAATTGGACCATATTGTTCCCCTCCTGTTGAAAACCTCCAGTAGCACTTAAATAAGAACCAAACTCCCTTACTGTAGCTCATGAATGCAATAGCGTCTGGCCTCAGCTCTCCTCCCTACTCTTCCCCACCTTTTTGTTTTGTTTTAATTCCTGTTTATGTGAATCGGCTTCATATATTTCATAGATAGAATCCTAGGATAACCATGTTTCTCTTCCTTCCTCTTTCCTTGCTTCAATCTCCTTCCTTTCTAAAAAAATAATTTTTGCAAAAAAAAAAAAAAAAAACAACAGAATTCAATCCACTGTGTAACCATAGGCTTCGTGCCCAGCCTTTTGCCCTTTCCTCTGCCGGGAATGTCCCTGATGTCATAGTCTCCAGAGTGGCTTCTTGTCACTTAGAACTTGACCGTCATGGTCATCTGTCCCGAGAAGCCCTTTTTGACCACCCTAAGCCAGTTACCACGTACCTTCTTAGTCTCCATCTCGGATTGTTATACGTGGCATTCTTCCTCCTGTGTTTTGTAGATGTGATTGCTACTTTATTTTTACCCCCTCCTGCTTAAATGTAAGAGCAAGGATTCATGTGTATTGTTCATCACTGGATTCCCAGTGGCAAGGTAGTGCCTGCTGCATATGGATCATCTGTGAATCTTGCTGAGTGAGTTAATGCTGTCAGGCTAATTGGTTTCATTGTTCTTTGGTTGCTTTTTTGAAGACACATCTGAACACCTAATCAGCAATTAAATATGAGTAGGTTTTTACTTCTTTCTGAATTAAATCCCCGGAAACTATAATCTTACCAATAGGCATTTTTGATTTATCTGATGCTCCTGAATATTGAGCTTTTATAAATTACTTCTAGGATGTGAACGTTTTAAATTAAGAAGTGACTAACTTTCCTTCAGAAAAATCAAGCCTGAGTCTGATGGAGCTCAAACTCATTTCTAGTCCCTTCGCATGGCATTGCCCATCACAGGTAGCACTTAGAGTGAGGCCTGTTTGCTGCCCCAGGTTGGACCCTCAGGTACAGAAAATATCCAAAAATCATTTTAAAGTGCTTCCACCTACTTGGGCCTATCTCCTCAACTCTGTATCATCCAGGTACTCGGAATTGCTATGATGAACAAAAATAGGAAAGTACTCTCCGTAGGGAAAAAGTCATTGTGAAATTGAGTGATTCATACAATTGTCCATGGAGAAGAAAAGGATTGAGAAGTGTTAAAAAAAATCCTGCATAATTACAGGATTTATTTTTTACTTCACATAAGCCATAGTATACATATGAGACTTTAAAATAAGCTGTAGGGGGTAACAAGCAAAACTTATAGTTAATTCCATTTACAAGCAAGTTAGAGATGCTAATACAAGAGTTCACACTGGCCTAGGGAATACAAAGTTTAGGTGAGGTTCTTCAAAAGCTTAAATTCTGAGCTCGGGGCAGTAGCCTAGTGGCTAAAGTCCTTACCTTGCATGCACCAGGATCCCATATGAATGCCAGTTTATTTCATGGCTACCGTACTTCCCATTCAGCTCCCTGCTTGTGGCCTGGGAAAGCAGTCAAGAACAGGTCATGGTCTTGGGACCCTGTGCCCACATATGGAAGATCTTTCTCTCTATATTTCCTTCTCTTTGTAAATCTGAATTTCCAATAAACATGAATTAATCTGGAAGGAAGGAAGGAAGGAAGAAAGGAAGGAAGGAAGGAAGGAAGGAAGGAAGAAAGGAAGGAAGGAAGGAAAGAGAAGGGAGGGAGGAGTGGAGGGAGGGAATGGAGGGAGGGAGGGAGGGAGGGGTGGGACTTGGAATTCTTTGGAAACAGATGGATCTCTGCCCCTCACCCCGTGCCCCAATATCCATCTTGACACAATGAGTACAGATGCAGGCACCCAGAGGTGCTGCTGTCCACAGATTTCAGGATCAGCGAATTTATAGAAGAAGTATTTGAGCTGTGTTTTGACTGAAGGGTGGACTTCAATATTGAGAGAGAAAGAGGGAAGGGGAATCATTTATTTCTCAGGAAATGTAGATTCTACAAGCTCCTTGTTGGCTGAGTCTTCCCAGGGAACTGTTTAGAGGGATCCATGACTTGGGTTTGTGGTCTCTGACCAGGTTTCTGCAGCCATTGTCGGAGAGGTTGTGACAGGGCAAGATGCCTTTGAAAGAAGGCTACCTGGTTCACAGAAACACACAAAACTGCTAGTAGCATTCAGAAGGCAGTTTTAGACACATAGTAACTGCGTCAAAACATATATGTTAAAGTTTCAGTGGATACTGATATTAAATGCAGTGTATAAAAGATGAAAAATCCTTTTGTGAAGCTTGGTGTCACCCATGTGTCAGCTGTTGGTATGTGTCTGACATCCTCACTGGCCCATTATGTGGGTGCACTGTATTTTATTTGATCAGGCCCTATTTACAGAGAGTGTTTTATAGTTATGATGATGCTATTACTATTTTTGCATGTTAAGGAGTATTTCAGAAACTTCATGGAAAGTGGAGTCACAAGTTAATTTTATTTTGAGTGCCAAATAATTTTAGAATCAATGCATATTGTGGGTCTTTAGTAAGTTCATAAAAAAGACAAAAAAAAATACAGGGATTGCAAAGTTCTTGCACAATAAAAACTTACCTTTGAACTCATTTTCCAATGCACTCTTGGCAGTGCCTTCATACACACATCTGTGTGCCCCTCATACTGTTTCCTTCGGGCGTGCTCCTAACAGGAAATGTCAAAAGGCAAAATTCTAGACTTCTCAAATCTACCACCAAATCCATCTGCAGAAAGTACCTACCAAATCACTCTCCTCAGGGGTGATGCCCTCTAAGGTTGTCCTTAAAAATAAGGCCCATATTGCACATGACTGATTCAGATTTGGTTCCAACTCCCTATTTTTCCAATCCAGCGTGCCATCAACCTGGTGACTTACCCACCTCACCTCCTGATCTTCACCTCCAGCCCAAATCTTGTGTCACAGATGAAGTAGTCAGACTGCTTTTCAACTAAGTATAGAATTAAAGTCAGAACACAGATCAAAAAGTCAGCAGGAGAGAATAATAAGAGTCAGCTAGCACTGCTCTATAGGCCGCCACGGAAGGTTCCCACAGTCAACTTGACAAACCCAACTCCTTTATTTCTGCTCGAAGCAGCACATTATGGGCTGCCTTTTCAGCCCAGAGGTCATTTTCTGGTTCTGATTACAGGGCAGCAAACCCACTGACAGATGTATTCAAGTGAACTTGATCTCATGTATTGTAAATGGAAGAACAGCATGAAAGGTCATTAGCAGGGTAGGGGAGTGGGGATAGAACTTACCTTGTAGCCTGCCACTTGGATTTAATTTCATCATGTCTGCCTCTGGAAGAGAGAGGACCTTGTGATTTGTCACTGTCGTTCTCTTTGTGAGAAAAATGCTATTGTTCATGGCTTCTTTTGGTCTTGTCTTCATCAGTCTTGTCTCAGGAAGAAAATGAACTGGGAAAATTTCTCCGATCCCAAGGCTTCCAAGATAAAACCAGAGCGGGAAAAATGATGCAAGCGACAGGAAAGGCCCTGTGCTTTTCTTCTCAGCAAAGGTGTGTGGCCTTCACTGGGGCTCTGTTCTAGGGGATCTGAAGAGAACCTGGGACCCCACTGCTCACGAAGGAGAATTGTTCAGTACAAAAAAGACTTCGCTCAAGGCCAAGAAGCTATCCAATTGTCAGTTCATACAGATGAGTGAAGTATCCCTTATCCAAAAATGTGAAATACATAATATTCTGGAATCTGAAATATCATTTGAATGCTGACACTAAGCCATGGGTTTTTCACACCTGGCCTCTTACGCTGAGTTGCACACATACATACAGACGTACTAACAATCATATATTCAGTGACATTGTGGCTGCGTGTCTAAAGCCTGCTTGCTAAATGAAGCATAAACGAATTTGGTGGGTAGGCTTGGTTTTCTTTCTCAATATATTTTTATTATCTGCATGCAGATATTCCAAAACTGGAAACAAAAGGAAATCTGAAAGGTTTCTGGCTCCAAACATGGAAAAGGGACATTCAACCTATACTTAAATTTCTGATCAAAATCATGTGCATGGTTAGGTAGTTGGGTAGTTGCCAGTTAAGACGCACGTCTTATATATCCCTCATGGCAGCTTCTTGGTGCAGTACCCAACTCTTCTGACTTCACTCTCGTAATCCTGCAGACCCTGGGAAGCAGCTGTGTTCCAGTAAGTCTTGGATTCCTGCTCCCCAGGCGGGAGTCCTGGACTGAGTCTTAAGGTTTTGGCTGGTGCGGGCACTGGGGAGTAAACTAACAACTGAGAGATTGTCTTTTCCAAATAAATAAATAATTGTTGAACATCTAAGAGTAGCATATCAGATTTTGCCCCTCTCTGTTGATTTTTTTAAAATATTTTATATATCTTCCTATTTATGGGGGCATGAAGTATGCTAATCACTAAATGCTGCCCTACACCTTTATTTGACCTTTATCAGTACTTCTGTCAGTCTGAGCCCCTTCCAATAGCCAATTCTAGCAAGAGTTTAATGCCCCAGATTGAAGAGTTCCTTTTCCCTGCTTTCCATAGGCCAGTGTGCTTCTCGTGGCCTTGGTGAGGGTGTCCTGGACCATGCTGCTCTGAGCCAGGCCAATAGCTCACCAACATCATCTGGGATCTGGCTTCAAATGCAGAATCCAGGCCACACCCCATCTTGTTAAAACCAGATCTGCATTTTTAACGTGATCCCTTGTTGATGTTAATGGCCATTTAAGCTTGAGAAGCTGTGGCATAGAGGAAATTGTGATAGAACCACGGCATTTCTGTAACACAACAATCATGACTCATTTTTATGGTCCATGTTCACTAAGCAGGAGCTCCTTCCCAACCCCCACAACTATTCTTGATGCTTGAGAAAAATGACTTTCCTTCTTTCTTCCTCCTCACTAGCTAACAAGCCAACCAAATATCATTCATGGATATTAGGCAGCATTATGCCTCAGAATTTCATGGTGAGGAGTAGTATGTCTGTAGGAGTGTGGCTCAGGGACAGGGTCGTGACATTGTGAGGGTTACTATTACTATTCAAATCTGTTGCAAAGCATACCTGTAACACCTTAAGTTTATGTGATCGCATCTTTGGATACAGGTAAAGCAACAAGAACAATGCAGGCAGTTGCACACATGCCCAACCTGCATTCTATCTATGATGAATGCAAGATGGCATTAAATGTGGCACAAAGTTAAATTAATGCGGTTTAGAAGATGGCCTGTACACAGCCTATGTCTCGTGGCCTGCAACCACTTGCCAGGCACACAAATCCCAACTTCCTCCTCTAATCATGAAGCAAATGGAAGAATTACATGAGCTTCAACTCTCAGGGACTGGATTTACAGTTGCAAGAATATACTTTTAGCATACAGTTTTGGGAAAATGTTTTATACTGATTACCTTACACGTTACTTTTTTTGATGAAACATCCTAGCTATTTGTTTATTTCCATTTGTGTCTTTTTAAAAATGAAACGCCCATAGCACAAGTCTTTCATTAGTCAGGCATGCTATGGTACATTAACTTAAACCTTCTAGTTACCTCCCAAGTCATTTTCCCCTTTCCTAATAAAGGATAAATGTCCTTAAGGTGCACTATAGGCTCTTTATTGTTTATTCCCATTGGGTGGATTTTCATGAGTAAAAATATGGGCCAATATTGCAGGAAAGGTTGATATTTTTCTGTAAACTAAGGTTTTTTGTTTTGTTTTGTTTTTGTTTGCTTTTTCTTTTTGGTGTGCCCTCAGTCCTTTATTCCACAAATGAATCAATTCTTTCACTTTTCTGGTTTTGTTTAAAGCAAGTTCTAGGGAAAAACATGAGATGATTTTACATCTCTTTTTTCTTTATCATGTTTTTGCATCTTCGAAGATTCCTGTCCAACTTTGTGCTGAAGAAATAAAGGATACTTCTTTCGCCAGTTTAGGAGAAGCAGTAGCATTCGTGGTTAGATAAAGGAGTCTGAAAATGAGCAGGAACCCCAGGAAAATAGTTCAGGGATGTTCATCTCCTTGAATAGAACCCTCAGTCACACACACTTCCACACCCATGTTTGTTTTGCTTACTTATTTAATAGTGATTGCTACAACTGCTCATTCTCTCTGACGAATGACAAGTAGCAAATTTAAACCGATGGGATAAAGCACTGACTTTATTGTACAACAATATGTCTTTGAAAAAAACCTACAGCATCTGGATAGGACAGTGTAGGCAAGCTGTTTTTATAGAAATGCTTACCTTTTTAAATAAAATGAAACAATCCCCTATTTTCCCCTTGTCTGTAAACAATTTATTAGCCCATTTAATCTTATCATGTTGCACACACATGAGGCATTGCAGACGTTAATGGAACTGCCAGAAGCTGCCTTCAGCTCACTGACATCATTTTTTCCTTTAGCTAAATTAGTTTTCATTTACATTAAGATCAAATATTCATTTTATTTTTGTTTTGTACTTGTGCCCTGAAACTTCACAGAGAGGCATATATCTTGAGAGTGTAACTCAGGAACAGTATTGTATCGTAGTAGAGGTTGTTAGTACTTACTTATTGTTAATTATTCTGGGATATTGCTATCCAGGTACACCCTATCCTGACCGCCATATGAGGGCCAGTTTGTGCCCTGGTTACCCCACTGCTGACCTAGCTTCCTGCCAGTAACCTGGAAAAGTACACATTTGGGCCCCTGGCATCCATGGGAATGACTTGGAGGAAACTGCTAGCTCCTGATTTCAGTCAGGCTTGTTCCTGGATAGGGTGGCCATTTGCAGAATGAATCAGCAGATGGGAGATAACATGCTATCACTCTGTCGTGGAAAAGAATAAAGTAACGATGATGATAACAATGATGATACAGTAACAAAGAATTGTGAGTCAGCTGACATTGCTCACTTTTTGGTTTAGGAAGATGAAAGATGCAGTATTTTCCTTCTTCAAGTAGGTTTTCTTTGGGGTCAAGTTTGATGTGAGTCAAACATTCTTGAAACAAATGCTAGTGTGTTATGGGCATTGTGACAGCAGTTCCACTTCGTTGTACAGCACACATTTATTTCTGGTGTGGTGGTTTCAAGGTTGTTGTTTTTAACATAAAGAATAAATCATATACTGTGTCTGAAACTGCTGATGCACAGTAGAGCCTCAGTCCATGTGTATATCTCCATTCTTAAATCATTTAAAAATGCTTCCTCCTGTGACTGCTGGAGCAAGCAGCAGCTATCAAGGCCTGTGGCCCAGTTAGGAACACCCTCATAGTCAGGTATACCCTATCAGACCTCAAAGGGCAAGGCTCAGTGGAGCATAAAATGACCAAGAATAGAAATGGGAGGTCTCATACCTTAACCATTCTGCATGAACCAGGAGCAGTTCCAGCTTGGGCCAGGCATGAGACTCTACCTGTCCAGTTGCCAGTGACACTGGAAAGTGGTCCATTAACAGACCAAGGGATCAGCACCTGGGTACTTCTTGACAGACCCATCCGTTCATCTGCATTTCAATGACTCATTGAATCCCGATGCAATGAGCATCTTCCAAGTTCCAGACACTTTGGAAGCTCCTAAGATTGGCCAAACCTCAAGGACTCAAATTGCTGACTGGCTTACTTTCAAAATCATGGCTTTGTCCTCTTGCCCAGGTTGGCCTTGCGCAATCCCCTGTGTCGATTTCACCAAGAAGTGGAGACTTTTCGGCATCGGGCCATCTCAGACACTTGGCTGACGGTGAACCGCATGGAGCAATGCCGGACGGAATATAGGGGAGCGCTGTTATGGATGAAGGACGTGTCCCAGGAGCTGGATCCAGATCTCTACAAGCAAATGGAGAAGTTCAGAAAGGTAGGGTGCTTCATGTGGATTCCCCAAAGGGAACCTGCTGGAAGGTAATGAGGTGTGATTTGAATCCTTCCAATGAGGAAGACCTGAGTCAAAAGCACCCCTTGCAATTAATCATCATTGGTGTCTTTTTATAAGATAGAATACCAATTAATGTGATATGTAATTCTCTAAGGATGAGATAGAAGAGACAGCTGGAAATTATGAAATTTTTTAATTGAAATCTTTAATTGAAGTCAGATTTTCACATTACATACACTTTTGGTAAGGTTGTCACTTTCAAATGCCTTTTCATGCATAACTAAAAACCAGGATTAGATTGAGCGAATCTGGAAGGTGAGAACAGACTACTGAGGAAATCTTTTTTTAATTGCTAATGCCCATTAAAATGAATGGAGTAACACTGCTCTTTTGTGGCACTTTCAGAAGCAGTAGGGGTTAGTTGTAGGATTAACTGAAGTGACGTTGACTCCATCTGGTGTGGGCCTCTTCAGAAACTTCTCTAAAAAATTGCCAAGGAGGTGGGTAGACTCTTAAATGTCCTGCAAATAACGGGTGCCCAGTAGGGAAACATTCTTGCTGCCTTTTTGAGGTTTTGCTAAGCAAGGATGCATCCTACCACCAGGTGGCAACCATGCACTAAACATTTATGAAAATACAGTGAGATTTTTTTTGTTGTTGTTGCACACACTTGGAGCTTCTTTGTTTGGTCAACTGGATGTATTTCAGGTTGTAGAGGACAGAAAAAATCAAGTGTTAGGCTTGACATAATAATTGTATCAGTTGTCTTACTCATGTCACATGGTCCTAGATATCTTTTTAGTCATATTATTTTAGAGCTAGACAGTGTGTTGGATATTGGATGTGTGTGTTTGGGGGTAGAGGGAAGGAAGGACCTTCTGTCACCTAGGAGGATGGTCTCCGGATCCTGACCCAGATGTGAGAGCCACACAAGCTCCCTCCAAAGTCATTCTCTGTGTGTGTCACCTAGAGCCTTCCCTGGAAGGAATACTCAGGTTCGGCCTCAGCTGTTCTTCCTGTGGTTACGGCATCAAGCTTCTCAGGCAGGCAGGCTGTGGGTGCAGCGCCAGCCAGGGCAGAAATGCTCTTAGTGGTGATCTAGTAAAATTCACTCCTCTTAGAAAAGAGAAAGATCAAGGCTTCAGAACAGAAAAGAAAGATGTGAAGGGGATAATAGACAAGTACTGGTGAGCCAGGGCTACTTTTAACCTTTCCTGGCTTTCTGAGTAGATTAGTGTGCGCGTACACACACACACACAGAGTAACTCTCGGGCACAGTCTACCTCTGCCTCCTATTAAGCCTCACAATAACCATGGCACATATTTTATGTTTTATTTTTGGACATCCTTATCTTTCTAGACTTACTTTAGAATGTCAACTTTTTCATTGAAAATTTTTATCAGACACAAAGATGTCACACATTCGTATGAGGCTTTGGCACATGAATGTTGTGCATACCAAATTATATTAAATGTAAATATGTCTTCAACCACTTAACTTTTTTTGTTAAAAACATGCAAAATCCTATACTCCTATTGTTCATTTGAAGAGAAATGTGTAGTCTGTTGGCATATTTTATAGTCACCCTACTGGGCAATACAACCCTAGACCTTCTTATTCCTAGCTACTTATGAATTAGTAGCCAGTCTTGCCCTGCATTTTACTTTATAAATGAGGACAATGGTGTGCATGCTAAATGACTCACTCAATGGAAGACAGGGAAATGCACATATTCAGATTCCTAGGAAATATGCCCAGTTAGTGTTCTTGTCTCCAATAATGAAGCACACACTCAAAATGGACAAAGGATTTTCTTTCTCATAGTTGTACCTCTCCTGTGATTTATTCACCCAATTAAAATTTATTGAACACCTCCTCTGTGCTGGGTAATAGAAATAACCATGCACTTCTTTTGGAAAGCAGAAGAATATCACATGAAATTGCATGATTTTGGTTTGGTCAGGGAGTAGTTGCTAACCATTAAAGGATGAAATAAAAAAACCATCTCCTTCGTCATTTGGTTTGGATGTTGAAATACTATCCACTCTTTGGTGTCATCAGCTGGTTGATTTGGAAAATATGGTTTTCTGAAAAAAAAAAATCCTTTGCCATGCTGACCAAAAGTAGCTGAAACTCAACTTTTCTCCCCAATCCTGTTTGTGCTGAGTTCAATTTGGTAGCTAAATATGGTGTACTTAGAACTTAGGGGAAGCATATTTTGCCATCAGCGATTGACAACACCTCTGGAGTTGCTTGGGGAGAGGCAGAGGGGTTTCAGTCCTCAGCACCAGTCATCACTTTTACATTTCAACCACTGAATCCTGCTCTTCACATGCAGAGTTTCTGGTGGAGACACAATTGGAACTCCCACTTCACTGAAGTCGCCCCTGTCTTGACCTTACTTTTCTCGTTGATGTAATAAATGGCCAGGTAGCCTGGCACATGCCAGGTAGTATCCAGAGAAGCCAGCAGACTGGGTCCCTGCCATCTTGTGGAATTCAGCCCATAAATACAGTGCACTAGGATGACCTTGGTGTCCCGGGAACACCACAGAGAGCCTCCTGGAGGAGGAGTCATGCTGGGAAGATGTGAAGAATGAACACGGAGGAGCTGGGAAGAGGGAAAAGAACAAAGGAGCTGAGGAATCTGGAGAGGCAAGAGGCAGGACATGCAGGCCCAGAGCACGAGGAGACCACAGTGGGCAGCCCTGAGACCAGAAGGGTGAACAGGGCTGCACCGGAGGGACCACGAACGGGCTGCGGGAGAGGCCGGGCTGTGGTCGGATCTGTGCTGTCTGAGCCGCTCGCCTTGGCTTCCCTGTAGAGAAGGAACTGGAAGGGCCCAAGCCTTGAGATGGGAAAGCTTTCTTACAAAGCCTGAGATGATTTGGGATGACTGAAATGAAGTAGGGCATACACCCAGGAGACACACACTGCTGTGGCCTCTACCAGAAGCTGTAGTCATCCCCTGAGTGGCAGAGCTTTTACTTATTTCCGAAGGTGGACAAAATACATATAAAGAGTCTCCAGCAAGTTCAAGTGTATGTTTCAACTCAGAGCCTCTTTCTCCATCATTTTAAGAATGCTGAGGAGCCTTTTAACTAAACACACAGTGAAAAGATGAATGAAAAACTTAAAATCAAACAAAGCGAATAATCGGTTTTCATTCTGGCACCCTTTGAAGAGCGTCAGCCTGATGACAAGGCTCTCAGCATCAACGTGATGAGTGTTGATTATGTGTCTGGGTTAGGGATGGAAATGCGGGGAAGTGGGGACGCCCAGCCCCAGCTCTCACCAAGGACCTGGGTTGACATCTGTGCCTTGTCAAAGTGACTGTGATGAACATAGCAACTGGGGAGTGTGTCCTCCCCGAGTCCCAGTCATTGGCAATGGTAGGTGAGTTTCATCGGGCAGGGCTGGGCAGCTGTGTGCAGCTGGAAGCGCCCCCTGATCACCCGATTCACCCCGCTTCCATGAGGTCTTTTATGAGCACAGTTACGTGTGATATATGTGCCCTTTGAAGGCAGTGTAAAAGGATAGTGTAAAAATAGAAATCAGCTTCTTGTAGCAGATTACATCAGCTCAAGTTGTGAGCTCACTCAGGGCTGCTGCAGCCCCATGCCCTTGAGAGAGTCCTCCTGTGGTCAATTAAGTGTCTTGTTTTTCTTGAAAGCCAGAAATGGAATGGAGGGTAATTATTCTAAATGGAATCAAAGCTGTGTTCACTGTTAAGAAAAGCATTCTGTGTCTCCTAAAGCGATCATATGGAAATGTATACGTGGGCATTCACAGGAGCTAGAGTCCTCCTCAGACAAGGACGAGCGAACCAGTGTTTTCGTGAGGACCATTTATTAAATGGCTTAATGAAATCCTATTTGTCAAGCATTTCATCACTGTAATTCAGAAGGTGTTGTAGGCAATGGGAGTGATACATGCTGGTGTTCACAGGCTCGTATCTATGTAAAATGGTGTTAGGTTTAAGGAGACCTGTTAATCCACCAGTCAGACTATCAAAGGACGGGCTAGAGCAGGAAGGATTATTAGCCGGGGTTGGCAGCTTACTAGGTAGGGCGTTATTAGGGCCATCTGTCAGTGGTATCCTGGGGTCCTGATTTGGATTTATAGAGATTGGTCAAGGACTGGTAAACAGCTGTATTGTGACTAGAGGGATTTTTTTTTCTGTGAACAGACTCAGGTTAATTAATTTGACAGCATCATTAATTACTGCTGAAATCATTGGGCTTTGTCAGAGGTCAGGCTCTTTTAGCAATTGAGGGCAGATCTCATGGGAGTCCAAGACACCAAGTAATGTGGGAGGGTCACCACTCGCCATCCCTGCGCAGTGACAAAAGCTGTCCCTTTTGCCTTGGGTCATTGCGGACTGAAATCTGTTTCCCTCAGTTCAGTGCCTAGGATCAGGAGCTGGGACCCCCAGCAAATAGTGGTGGTTAAGTGAGGGGGCATCTCAAGTTTGGGTCCCATACAATGTTCGATGTCAAGTATCTGAGAAGTACCTTAAAACTTGGTCTTTGCTTAATTCATCCTTTAAAAAGGAAGGATGAACTCAAGTCTGTTGTGTCTCTACTTCCATGAGTAACTGTGTGTAATGGGAAAAAGGTTTTGATGCAGTGAAAAAATTCCCCTTTTAAAGCTAATGTTTCCTTGAAATGACACTGCTTCACATTCTCCCCCATTTGTCTGTTGAATTTGGGTGTGTGCTTGCTGCTTGTCTGGGACACATGTTAGCTTTGGTCCCTAAGCGGATTGAATGTGGTTGCTATGTTGTAACAGTGCCCAAAAGCACTGGCACAGCTTGGAAAGGAACAAATAATGACACCCTTTCCTTCACTTCAGAATTTTATGAGATGAAGCCGTTGGGGCTCTTGCATGTCTTTATTGATTTTCTCCCACTAAGCCTGGCAAATAGTAAATACTAGTTTCAGGGTTCAGCTAAGACCATTGAGAATAACACAAGTGAAATG